TAAAATACCGCTTTTATTTTCAAGCATATAGCCTCATCTAATATTAATATTTTTTTTATTAACTTTATAAAAATTAACATTTTTTATATTATTATATTAGGTAATACTATTAAGGGTTTAGCTATTATCCCATAACCACGAACAAATAGCCTATAATAACCTGCTAAGCCCAAAAACCCTCTCAATTGTCTAAGGTTTTGGGGCAGAGGCTATCATACTACGATAACCACCTTAGTCGGATCTGTAGAAACTCCTTCTTGATGTGACCCAAATACTCCACTTGTTGCACTGCAAAATAACATTTAGATCTTTTAACAAATAGAGAATTTAATCGAAGAGTTAACAACACATCACTTAAATGTTGTAAATGGTCTGTTAAGTTTCTGTTGTATACTAGGATGTCATTGAAAAACACCAATAAAAACTTCCTCAAAAACTTGTGAAAAATAGTGTTCATCAAGTCGTGGAATGTAATCGGTGCATTAATGAGGCCAAAAGGCATCACCAAATATTCATAGTGTCCTTAATGGGTCCTAAACGTTGTTTTTCACATATCATCCGAGTTCATTCGAACTTGATTATACCCCCACACAAGTCAATTTTTGAAAAAATAGTAGATCCTGACAATTCATCCAATAATATCTACTAAAGTAATGAGAAATTTATCGTTTACTGTTCCTTTATTCAATTCCTGGTAATCCACACAAAGTTCATGAATCATCCTTCTTCCCCACAAGAACTACTGGATTGGCATAAGGGCTATTGTTATCCCAAATAGAACCATATTGCAAGTATTATTGTATGAGTTTTATCAATAATATCCTTCTAATTCTTAGCATACCTATAAGGTCTTTTTTTAACTGGATTAACTCCTTGCATGAGAGGAATATTATGATCATGCCTTCATATGAAGGGTGGCAACTGTTGTGTTTCAATTCCCATTGGCAAAGCTACCTAATCAGCCTTGGAAGTCAATGAACACAATAAGTCTTCCTCGGAGGCACCAATATGCATCATAGACAAATGCACTCCTTCTATAAAAAGCCTTGCACAATTGTTGTTTGGTTGTAGTTTTAACCTTGGTATTAGTGGATCCTTTAGCACATGTCGTCTTCCGTGCACTTTAAACTCCATTGTGAGTTTGTCAAAATTCCACAAAATATCACCCAATTTAATGAGTCATTCAATTCCTAACACTAAATCACAACACCCCAGAGGTAGAAGAAGCATATCAGCTCTAAAAGTAGTGTGCTGAATATTCCAGTTGAAATTCCTTATCATTGTCAAAATCTTGATTTTGGATCCATCTGCTACAACCACATTCAAGGGATTTATATTTTCTACTATACACCCATATTTTTCTACTACTTGAGTGAGTGTTTCCACTGTCAATCAAAATGTGTAAAGGTTTCTTCTGATAATAACCTATAATCCTTATTATTCTAAATCCTACTACTCCTGTCTGCGCATTGACTAAAATTTGTGGCTCTTGCACAAGTAATTGGTTTCCTCCATCATCCACAGACCCATCACTAGTATCCGCCTCATCCTTCGCCTCCATTACATGAATTTGTAATTTCTTGTGAGTCAAACCATGTTCTGGAAAATAAGGTTCATCACAAAAATAACAGAGCCCTTTAGCTCTTGTTTTAGACATGTATGCTAGTGTTAAGGTCCTTTGCGGTTTAGGTTTCGGAATTGCAGTAGTTGTTGTCGTGACCTGTGTAGGTGACGGTGCAGGGCCCAAAACTCCCCTTTGGAACCTAGCAGAAGTGTTGATTGAATTGGCAGATTCATACATCCATGCTGATGTAAAGGCATGTTATATAGATCTGGGTTGGAACATCCTTACCATCATTTGAATTTCTTTCTTTAGCCCACCCAAAAAGCAACTTAGCACATACTCCTCCGATAGATTCAATCTTATAATAATTGAATCAAATTCTTCATGATATTCATCGACCGATTTATTTTGTCGTAAACGCATCAATTCCGCCATAGGATCAGTACACATATCACCAAACCAAACTGTTCACATAATTGTTTCTTGAATTCAAACCAAGAAAATGTAAAAGAATCCAAACAAGATTTCGCCAAAGCAGTATGTCACTACAACGCTTTGCCTTCCAAATGCACAATAGCTAACTTCACCTTGAATTCTTTTGGAGTGTTATCTATGAAAAGTAGATTTCACATTGATGTATCGTTGATTCACATTTTCGCCATTGAATCTGGGAAAATCAATACGTGCCAATCGAGTTTCACATACATAATTTGAATGTGCACCCCGAGACATTATCATTGAAAGAATTAGTATTACTCTAGCCAATTTTCTACGTAATCCATTCTTGCAATGTTTGTTGCAAAGAAGCAGCTAACTCTATAAAACAAACATCCATCTTTTGAGACATTCATTCTTCCATGTCTTTAATTGCCTGAGCCGAATAGGTAGCGTCTACCATGTGAATTTCTTAGGAAGGACCAACTGATACCAATTGATAAGAGAAAAACTAGAAGGGGAAAAGGGAAGGACAACATGTGTTCACTTCAACACAAGGACATATAGAAAAGGGAACCCTATAGTGGGTTACCACAATATTATTGAGAGGTAAGAATGTTGATTACAATTTTTTTCATATCTTGTTTATAAAAGCAATCCCTGTATAAAACTAAAGTTAAACATCACTTCTTCTAGAGGCACCGCTTCTTACAAGTGGTTACTTTATATAAAAGTTACTTTATATCAATTTTGCTCCTTGTCACATAAAGAATGAAAAGGTAAAAAATGCATAGCTAAAGATATATGGTAGTTAAAACCTCTCTCAATTGTATTGAAATCTCATAAGATTGAGATTTAATGCTTGTCCCTGTTGGATTGGACTCCCAACTATGTGTCTAAAAAATCCAAATTAGTCAAACTCATTTTACCTCATTTAACCTAAGTGGAGAAGAGTATGTTTGGTCAGAACAGAGAGGAACATTTCGCATGGGAAGACAAAAAGAAAAGGAACAATCGCCTCTATAAAATTACGATTGTCGCTTAGTTCACCGTTGGATCGGGCTGAAATTTTAATAGCAGCTTCGTGGTGTAAGAGTCTTCATTTTGACTGTTGGGATCGTCAATTGGAGGAAAGGATTGTGGTTGGAGATATCAGTTTCGCACTGTGATTGGTTTTTAGGTTTCTTTTCTTTATTCTTCAAATTTGAGAGCATTGTTGCTTTGATATATTGACTGTTTTGTACTTATTTGTGCTTTTGGCTTGACTCTCTTATACCCATACTTTTGATGTTAGTGGAACTTATAAATGTGTTCGTGGGTTTTTACTCCTCATATTGAGGAAGTTTTCCTACACTAAAAATATTGGTATTCTCTATTATGATTATTTATGTCATTATATATTGTTGTTGCTCCTCATATATTCTTGGAAGTTTAAGAAAATTATTTCCCCTGCATAATTTGGTATTTTAAATTGTTGTGTTGTTTTTCCCTATCAGTCACTTGACTTGACTAATCGAGGATTTTTTTTTCTTTAATCTCCTCAACGTCATAAAATCATCATATCTCATCTTCTTATACCTTTCCAAGATTCCTTATTGTATCATCTACTTAATAGTCTGTGTTAGGGAGAACAACTTTTAGATGTCATGACCACATGCTCTATGATATTCACACCATGCATTTCGATTCACCTCTGTTTACCAATTTGATTTCTTTTGGGGCATCAAAACTTGGTCATATTCACATCCTTGAAGAATTGTCATTTTGTGGTATTGGGGGGAGTTGGTTTGAAATATAAACGATCCCACTTGTTATCGTAGGGTTGGTAACGTTGGTATTTGATTTTATCTAAGAGTCACTAAATCAATTGTCACCTAATTCCCAATATCTCATATTTTTGTTGGGCATCTTCTACCCTTTGATGGGGTTTCCTCGCCTGTTGGTGCAAGTCATTCATCATTTGCATGCCTTGTGGAAAAGTTAGGACATCTTCCAAGTTACTCATTCCTTTGTCTTCTCATCTTTAGTGTTCAAGAAACTTATTTGTGTTACAAAATTTTTGTTTTGTGTGGTGAGAATAGTTTTACCTGACCTATAGTAGACTCCAAAAATTTTTAGCAAAAAATTTTGGTATGGTTATTACACTTGAAGATACTATTCAGTATTAATTAAATTCTTCAATATTAGTTAATAGACAAATCTAAGGAAAGAATTGATGTTCAGCATATAGGTGGTACATTGTCCTTGAAGCTATACCATGCTAATTAGGTAAGTTAGTTATAGATAGAAGGTTCACCTTTGACTACTACATGTATGTGAGATGAAACTTAGTAAAATGGAAGAGCAACAAACATAATATAGTTGCTCGATTTAGTGTAAAAAATATATAATTTCAAGCTATGGCACCTAATATATGTGATGAGGAGTTATGGATGAAGATTTTTCTTGATGACCTCGTGGATCTATAAGGTTTTTTATCATAACAATTTAGTTATTTTAACGTTTTCTATCCGATCCAATCCAACATGACAAAACAAAACAAAACACATAGATATTAGCAAAATAATTCATAAATTGACAGAGGTCTTGTAATTACTCGTTCAAGACTTCAATCAACACTTGTGTTCACCAAGATAATTCCTACAAATAGATTTGTGTGAATGTAGTAAATATTTTAGAATATGAAAATATATCTCTTTTTATCAGGATATTTATCATCTTTAAATTATTTATATATTTCCTATTTTAGGATTACTTGTTTTATATAAACGGGATATTAGAGCTTGTATTAGAAGTATGAATATGTAAAAGTTCATTTTATTTCAACTTCAACTTTTTGTTAAAATCACTTGCAATATAAGAAAGACCGAAAAATTCATTGATGAAATTCTGGTCTAAATGCACCATGTAGAAAACTAGTATTAACATTTGAGACAATTTAAATTGCATCCATAAAGAAGAGAAAAAACAACGCGTGAAATTCAAAAAACTAAATTAAAACCTGGGTCTCTTTCCACACCATTGTAATCTTACTGTTTTCTAACTCCATAGAAACTAGACTTCCTTGATAAAAGCTTGGTGGTATGAAGGCAAACGGAAATCCATGCCAACAAAGCCATCTAAGATCTTTGGAAAAATATTCAAAATCTCCAACAAGTTCTACACTAGAAAGTTGAAGCAACCTAAGTTTCTTCATGTTCATTGTCGCCGCCGTCAAAACGAGGCGGTCGGAGCGACGCGATGGTTCCGACTTTCCAATTTTCGCGTTTTTATAGGTGTGGTTACAACGCCTTTAGGTTGTCCGATAACCGGGCTGAACCTAGGGGCGAGGTTTTTGAAAAGGCGTTCTTAGATTGTTCGATAATCGGGCTAACCCAAGAACTAATTTTGAAGGGTTATTCTGGAGTCGCCACCAATGTTTTTACCGGAAACATCGGAAAAGGAGTGAAAAGGCGTTCGTTTTCGAAAAACCAACTTTGGTCATTAGAACCAGAGTTGGGTAGGGAGTTAGTTACGTGTAAGGGAAGTGTTAGTTTCTTTACGACGCCCCTCTCGGGTTCCCTATGATAAGCCAGCTATTTAAATAAGTAAACCGATGAAAATACGCTTTTACCCTTTTATTTACGGAATTTAAAATTACGACTACATGGCCCTAATATCTACTGCGCAATAAAAATAAAGCAGTAAAAGAGAGAGAGAGAAAATGTAGAAACCTCTGAGGCAAGCTTTATATTAATCTCTTGAAAATTAGGGTGCTTTTTGGTAGCCCTTCACTCTCTACAGCGCCGAAAACCTCTCAAAAACGCTATAAAAACTCTTCGAAACTCTCAGAAAACTCCGGAAGTGCTTCAGAGGGGTTCTAGAAAGATAATTTGATGAAGTGACAAGAGAGAGAATGGAAGAACTATGTGAAATGAGGGGAATGACGCGATTATTTATAGGGATTCGCGCCTGTCAGGTCAAGACGGTCGTCTCGTCTGACAAGGTCAAGACGGCTATCTCGCCATTCGAGACGGCCGTCTTGCCTTGCAAAAATGGCGAGACGGCCGTCTCGCCAACCGGGAGGGTCGTCTCGCCAAACGAGACGGCGGTCTCGACTTGCAAAAGTGGCGAAACGGCGGTCCTGAGAAGCGAGAGAGCGGTCTCGACCCTAAAAGGCGAAAATCCTTATTTACATGCAGAAAATCCCTCCTATCCTAGTAAAGGGCCTAATAGTCTCTCCTAGTGGCTTCTTAGGCTTTGTCCATCTTTGAATAGAAGGTCTTCTGGTCTTTATTATGAGGCCGGGCAAGATTTGGGGTCTACAGCTGCCCCCCCTTTACCTGACCAATCGACTGTTGGCCTGTTGTGCCAAGAAGATCGACTGGAAGGTAAAGGAGTTGACCCTCTTACCCGGTTACCCTTCGGATGTTCCGTCTTGCGACGGTTGATCTTCTGGGGAAAATTTGTGTTGTGCACCTCCAGGATACTCCTTCTGACGGTAGTCGATCCCTTTGGTTGACACGTGGTAAAGCCTCAGGATACTCCTTCTGATGATAGTCGATCCTTCGGTTGATGGGTATAAACCCCCCATCAGGCTGGTAGTTGCAATCCGCTGTGCGTTGGACTGGATGAGTATGAACCCCCCATCAGGCTGGTGGTTGCGACTTACTGATCCGGCTCGAGCGCAGATCAAGTGCACCGCGTGCGCAGGTTGATAGGTATGAACCCCCTATCAGGCTGGTACAGTCCATTGCGTAGGACTGGTGGTGGTGGCGGCTTACTGCTCGAGTGGCTCATGCGCCGAGCGTTGAGATGTGCTTTCTTGTCTTTGTTTGTCTTTTTTCTAGGAATGGTCGTCTGGATTGTGTCGGTGATCATCCAGCTTTGTTGGTTGTTGGGGATTCTTTGATTTTGATCTTTTGGTAGTGGTTATCCGACTTCGTTGGTTGTCGGGTAGTCTTTGTTTGTTGTTCTTGCTTGGTTGGTCGAAATTTGTTGGTTTAATCTTGCCTTTTTCTGTGGTTTTATCTCTTTTTTCTCGCGATTTTAGATTTTGGCTTTTTTGAGCATAAGTCTTTTTACTCTTAGCTTCTTTTGTTACGCTGACTTTTTTTGAAAGGGATAGCAAAAAATGCATGAAATGAAATTTTATTTATAAGAAAAATTTATTACAGCAACTTATTCTATAAGCATTATCCCTAAGAAGGTGGGCTCTCGTTTGCAGACGATCCATAAGAGGGGAACTGCCGGTACATATGTCTCCGGAACTCCGCCTGGTCTCGGGCTTCGTCTCGGTACTCCTACTGGAAGGCCGCCCAATCCTGCCTCATTCCCTCTTGGTATTGGTATATTGTCTCCAATCTTGTGTCGAAGGCCTCTTGCCTTAGGGACATCTGCTCTTGCCTCACAGACATCTGATTGAATTGCTGGCGTAAATCGTTCATGTTGCGGTTTACGCCAGCAAAATCATCTGTGTACTGCTGTTGTTGTTGTTGTTGTTGTGGTTTTTGGAACTCGGGTGGTGTTGGGAGATCGTGCATTGCCATGAGATCCTGGAGATCCAAAGTGATGTCCAGCGAGGGGTGGAGGATCAGCTGGGTCCTGTGGTGCAGTAGCATCCCCATGCTGACCAGAACCGACCCGTTGATGGACTCGGGTCGGAGGCTGGAGGCCAGTTCCTCCCTGCCACTGCACCCCCATTTTTCTGCCAGGGGGGTAATGAGGGGAGCCATGAGGATGGCTCCCACAAGGCGGCTCCCGAAGTCCTTGAGGGCCTTCAGGAAGAAATTGCCAGGGTTGCACCGGCGCCTCTGGCTCATGCAGTAAAGGACGAAGAGGTCCGGAAGGGTTACCTTTCCCTTACTCTCTTTCTGCCCGTGGATGGTCCCTGCCAGCAGCTTGTGGCAGATGCGGAGGGCTGGAGGAAGTGCGGAGCCCTTCATCAGCGTGGGCAAAGTGGGCGCCCTGATGAGCTCTTCCCACATCTTGCCGGCAGTGAGGTTGGTGGGGCGTGCGTAGATGGCCTCCTGGTAGTCCCAAGTCAGCATGTCCTCGGGCTGGACGAACCTAATGTTCACATTGAATTCGTCCAGGGTGGTGGTCCGGTACATCCCACCCATGAAATATGTCACCATTTTTGTCGGCGACAGACCTGGTACCATGGCGGGAGTCTCGGCGTAGGAGATGGAGGCGAGAAACTCCAGCACCACCTGGGGGTATACGTGGGTAGGTGGAGGCTGAAGGAGGAAGCCCCACCCTATACTATCGATGTAGGCCCGGACGTCGTCCTCCCACCCGAATTCGGCAAGAATACCGAAATCCAATTTGAGCATGGGGTGCCATGTATACCCCCAGATATGCTCGAGACGGGCCTGGTGCATTGGCGAGAGTTGTGTAGGATCCTGGGGAGCAGGTGTTGAGGAACTACTAGGACCAGTAGAGCCTCTTCTCTTTCTGGACTGGCTTCCACGATGCATCTTGACAGTCGGGTGCTTGAGAGTGAGAGAATAGAGAGTTGGAGTGCAGGAGGAGGTGTGGAGACCCCCCTAGGCCCCCCTCTATTTATAGAAAATTTTTCAGGTTCGGGACCACCATCTGGGAAGTCGAGACGACGGTCTCGATTTCGCACGACTAGAGACGGTCGTCTGGAACCTCGAGACGATGGTCTCGACTTTGGCCTTAAGCGAGATGGTCATCTCGCCAAGTGAGATGGCGGTCTCGTTTTTTTCCAAGTCGAGACGGCGGTCTCGTTTTGCTGGAGATCGAGACGGCGGTCTGGAAATGCGAGACGGCCGTCTCGATTTTAAGAGTTTTTTTTTTAAAAGAAAATAGGACCTGGTTCAAAAACATTTTATGCATGCAATGTTTTCATGTTTGATGTCCTATAATGTTTATTTCATTTAGTTTTTCAGAAGGATTTAACTGACGTGCCTTGTAGCGCCCTCTAATCTGCGTTCTCGTACTTGGCTGTACCATGCCAGACTTCTTATGATCGAAGAATAACTTGTTTTTTCTTTTTCTTTGCTTTTTCTTTTTTTTTTTAGAGCACACCTTGCCATGTAGTGTCCCTTTTTCTTCACTTTAGGGGTTTCAATCCTCTTGTTGACTATATGCCTCCATATTCCCAAATTAATTATTAAAATATTGTTGTGAGGGTCAAGAGAAAAGAAGTAAGAAGGCAAATTCAATGGCTTGTGTTTTAGAAGGTTAATTTTTATTTAGAAAAAGGTTTTTTTGTAAGAATGGTTGGATAGGGTTAGGCCTGGGTGTTTAAGCTTTTGTCTAAGCAAATGTTCCCCTCTTTTTTGTATTTGCGCTTTAGTTTTATTTCCATTGCTTTTTATGGCTAGTTGATCTCCCTAGATCGCCCTTTGGGTTTTCGAACTAGGATATTGTGTTTTGGCCCTATCTTTTGTCTAAGTTCCTTTTTATCGTATTTGTTTTAGGGAATCCTAGCGGACCTTATTTTGTAACCCTAACTTTTGCCTAGGCTACCCTTTATTTTTGTTCAGGTATCCTACCGGGTTGACCCTATCTTTTGCGTAGCCCCCTTAGTGGGTTTCCTACCAGGTATTTTGCCCTTTTTTTCTTTTTGGCCTTTGGCTTCTATGGGCTTCTTTTTTTTATGTATTTATTTTTATTCACAATATTGGCGAAGCATGACTTTCTTTATGATAAGGTAAAGTCCTATTTGGTGCTTCTAATCAACTAGCTTGATTGTAATGGCAATGGCGAATTTTGATTATTTAGATGCACTTTTTATTCTTCTTTTTCTTTTTTGTTTACTTAGACAAGGTTATTGTGAGGTCTAGTCGTGAAATAGCAAGAAGAGAAGCAGATAGTAAGAAGTTTATTCTTTATTAATTAATAAGGGAATATGTGCCCTAAAATGCCCGGGGGTCGGGCTAGCCCCGGGGGATAATCTCTAACAATCATGGGGTTTACATCCCTTAAATGAAGAAAAAGATCTCCTAATGACTAGGGTAGCTCTTAACGCTTGCACCCCTCTGTAGACCCTTAATCTTGCTCGGCCTCATAATAAAGACCAGAAGACCCTCTAATCGAAGATGGACGAAGCCTAAGAAGCCAGTAGGAGAGACTATTAGGCCCCATATTAGGATATGAGGGATTTTCTGCATGTAAATAAGGATTTTCGCCTTTTAGGGTCGAGACCGCCGTCTCGCTTCTCGGGATCGCCGTCTCGCCACTTTTGCAAGTCGA